ATATATATATATATATATATATATATATATATATATATATATAAATACTGTATATATATATATATAAATACAGTATATATATATATATATATATAAATACAGTATATATATATATATAAATACAGTATATATATATATATATAAATACAGTATATATATATATATATACGCATTGGAGTTGATGCCATCATCAACCTGCTGCACAGAGCCTACACACACCTGGACAGGGCAGGCAGCACTATAAGCATCATGTTTTTTTTTACTTTTTCAGTGCTTTTAACACCATAAGACCTGCTCTACTTTGCAGTAAGCTCCTGAACATGCAGGTGAATGACTCGCTGGTCACCTGGATTGAAGACTACCTCACAGGTCAGCTACAGTATGTGGGGCTGCAGAACACCCCCTTGGACACCATACTAAGCAGCACAGGGGCTCCACAGGGGACAGTCCTTTCACCATTTCTGTTCACCCTCTACACCTCAGACTTAGGCAGCACGGTAGCACAACTGGTAGAGCTGCTGCCTCTCAGCGAGAAGGTTGCCAGTTTCAATTCCTGTTCCGGGTGCCTTCCTGAGTGGAGTTTGCATGTTCTCTCTGTGCATGCTGCATGGGTTTTCTCCGGGTTCTCTGGTTTCCTCCCACAGATGACAAACATGCATGTTAGATTGATTGGTAACTCTAAATTGTCCCTAGGTGAGAGTGAGAGAGTGAATGGTTGTTTATCTCGTTTGTCTCCATGTGGCCCTGTGATGGACTTGCAACCCGTCCAGGGTGTGCCCCGCCCCTCGCACAGTGATTGCTGGACATGGGCACCGGCAACCCCCATGACCCAAAATGGAATTAGCGGGTAAAAGATAATGGATGGAAGAATGGACCTCAGACTTCAGGTACAACTCAAAATCCTACCACCTTCAGAAGTTCTCGGATGACTGCCATTGTGGGCTGCATCACCAGTGACCAGGAAGCTGAATACAGAGATGTGGTGGACAAAACCACCTGCA